TATTTATATATAATATATATGGCTGTGTGTTTTAAACAGTATTTCAGTGTTTTTATAGTTTTTCAGCAATGTTCTACCTTTAGAATTCTTCTAAGAAAATCACCCCCGTATCTAGTGCAGTTTGTACTGTGTATCCTGTCTTATGCATGGAATCCCACTGTCACCTCAGTGAGGAATTTCCTCTCCTACTGAGTTCGTAGCAGAGCTACAGGGACTGGGATATCTAGGACTTTGCTCTCCATGTGTTTGAAGTTGGCTGTCAATCACGATTTTCCCTTTCTTGGGTTTTCATTGTTCAATAAGAATTTTTGAAAATAACTATTAATATGTTGCACCAGGCTCCCTAGAAACTTGATGTGTGTGTGCTTTCCAGTTTTCAATTTATAAAAAATGTAAATGCACTCTTGTTTTTAAGTAGTCCTTTTTCACTAGATATTTGTTTATCTCTTTATCGTTATATTGTTTCCCAATGAATGAGATAGTGTGCATGTTTTAAAAGATACATTACTATTTTTTGTCTTATTGAAACAGTTATTTTCATTGTAGAGAATTTACAAAATAAGGATAAACACAGTAAATAAGTTTAAAATAGCCTGTAATCTCCTCACCTAGAGATACAGGTGTAAGTTTTGAAATTGAGAATTACAAGTCCTCTCACGTTGTTCTACTTTTTCAAGGTCGATTTCCTTACTGAGACCCTAGAATGCCCATATGATTTGTAGCAGCAACTAGTCAGTTTCTGCAGAGGGTTCCGCTGGGATTGTGATCGAGACCACGTTGAACAGACGGATTGCTCTGGGGAGAACTGCCATCCCAAGATCATTGTCTTCTGACCCTGGAATATGCGTGGTGTGTCTGTCCAGGTATTTAGGTTCTTCTTTTTTTTTTCAACAATGTTTTGAGTTTACAGAATTGTATTTTACTTTTTTTTGCCTTTATACTGAGGACAAGTGTGCAAGGTACCGGGATCAGAAGTGTACTTGAACCCTGCTACTTGCTGCCACCATGCTCTCTGCGATCTTGCTTCGCCCGCTCTACAATCTTGCACAGAATAGGATCTCAGTAACTCTCTCGCTCTTGAATGATTATATGATTGTTGGATGATGCTTGAGAGTCCTTGTGATGATTTTTTTTCCCCAGCCTTTCCCCAATTCTTTACTATGCCCTTTCTCTTCCTTTCCTCCAACCTGGGTTTCAGTCTGTAGACACTTCCTTTCAGTGGTTCATGATAATTTTACATGTGTGCTGTGGAAAGATGCTAGAAGTCAAGAAAGAGCAAATTCATTTCATGCTAGTATTTTTAGAGTGTGTTATTGTTTTATCGATTGAAATTAAATCAGGCTGACCCCCTGAGCCTTCCTGTGAGCTCTTTTTGCCTTCCTACATGTGATACTGCTCTGGTTGCTGCATGTGCCCTTTCCCCAGCCTTGCTTTTGGAGTTGAGTAAGTCACCATAAGTGGAGCACTCTCTATAAAAGATGAGGAGAACATTTGCTCCTTATCCCTGGTTGGGGACTTGGATGAGAAGAGGTAACAGTTAAAGAATGGAGCCCCACCTCATTCTAACCCCTGCCCTTTCCGTTCCTTTCTCCAGGGAACAAGAGTACAATTCAACAGTATATAGATTGATTGTGAGCTAATGAGATAGACAAGACAACCGAACATTTATTAAATATCCTTTCATGCTAGAAACAAATGTATTATACACACAAAAAGCACATAAAGCACGGTAGTACTGTGGTTACAAACGTGGGTCCGATTTCGAGTCCTGCTCTGGAGTGACCAGTCCTGTTAGATGGAGAAATGGTAGGTCAGCTTAGCCTCTCCTGGACTTGTTTTCTCTCCTGCAAAGACGGGGCTCTCTAGGCATCCCTCCCCCGTAGAGGTGCTGAGGGATATAAATGACGCACGTGGGCAGCCTGAGCACAGCTGTTCCTTCCTCGTAAGTGCAGGATAGCATAGCTTCTGCGGTGACGGCTTTATGACCGCCCCGTCTAGACTCTCAGTGCTCCGAAAGGATGCCTTGTGGTTTGGAGATGGGATTCTCACGTCTGTAAATACCCAATAATTGTGTTATTGGGCCCTGCTGATTTGAATCTATTCTTTAGAAAGTACATATTGTAGATATGTTTTTAAGCATGCATGCTTTTTTTCTTTTATTATTTATAGTTCTACGCTCTCATATCATGGTGTGACATTTCATGGAATCCAGGAAACAGCCCTAAGCTACCTGCCTCTTCACACTTCTCCGTGGTGGTTTTCTTACCTGACTAGAAGAGGGTTTTGCATAGGAAATTTTCTTTGTTCCCCTTTTCTTGCAGTCTCTCTGTCTGTCTGTCCATCTCTCACCTGTCAATCTGTCCATTTATCTACCCACTCATTCTTCAGACTTTTTCCAAAAAGCATTTCAGGCGGCTTACAGAAGAACAGATACCAAATAAACAGGTGAGAAAATGGGGCCAAATTCAGACAGTGAGGCTTGGAAGGGAGCCTGTGTGAGGGTTGCAGGCGTGAGAGACACGCCTCTGCCCTGTGACTTGTAAGATCGACAGCAAGTGTGTGCCTGAGGCTCCCAGCAGACACAGGGAAAGAGGGTTTGAGGGAGATGCTCACTGGCTGTGAAATAAATAAGTGGCTGGGGAGAAGCCCAGCGTTTCCAGCTACTAAGGATTAGGAGAATATTTTGAGTGTCTTCCAAAGTCAGAGTATTGCATCTTTTCCTTTGTCAGAGATCTATGTATAGTTGGTTACATTCTATACCTGGAAATTTCTCCAAAACTGCTTCCCACGTGAGTCCCATGGCTCGGGAATGGGGTGGTTCTGCTCATTGACGGGTGTTGGCCAGAAACAGAAAATGACCGCCTCAAAGGAGCCTGGGATTTGTCAGTTATGTTTTGTCAGTACGGTAGAATTAAAAAAATGTTTTCACAGTATCTCTCCATCTGAGGTGGCAGCGTGCTCTCTTACCAGTATGAGGAGCTCAGGGCCACGGGATGGTGCTGGCTGAATGCACTGCCATCAAATCAGCTGAGCTAGTCACTGCAGGTGTGGTTTTTTTACATACAGCATTTCATGTTCTTTCCTAGAATGTTTCAACAGGGAGTTAATTAACTGAGTCAATTAACATTTAATAAATATGATGTTTTGTTGAAAAGACAGCTATAGGCAGAATATATGCGGTGAAGACTTTTAAAACGGTTTCATTACTGAAATTTCAGTAGGGAAGATACACAGTTTTCTTATTTATGCCTGTCTTTTAAAATAACAAAGAAACAAGACTGCGGGGAGCTGCCTCATGAAGTGAGAGTCTGGTAGACAGGAGTTAACAGTCCTGATTTACAAGACACAGCACCTGCGGGGAGCTGCCTCATGGATTGAAGGTCTGGTATCCGGGAGTTAATAGCTCTGTTAATAAGACTTAGCTCTGGGAGGTTTCTCTGTCCCGCCACCCCTACGTTCTTAAGATAAAGGATTAACAGATGTTT